ATAAGGATACCTACCTCCTAGGGCTATTGGGAGCAGTAGATGCATCAGCGTATGTAAAATGATCACAATGGTGTCTTGGCATACAGTGGGTGCTGAGAAGACGATGAAGATAAGAAGCAGCTGGCAGTGGCGAAGGTTCAAACCCAGGCCCCTGTGATTCTGTGTCGTCACTACCAGCACCCAGGGTGCCACACATCCCATCTCCCTGCCAGAACTCTCCTGTGCCCTCCTAGGAGAGGTCTTCCATCCTGAAAGTGGCTTTTTTAGCCTGGTTTCCTGGTGGACCATCCCATGGTCATCTGCCCAGAAAGTGGTGCCCGCTGGTTGTGTAAGGAGTAGGTCAGAAGGTGTAAACTGCCCCTGCCAGTCAGTAACACCGGGCCTCCCGTGCGGTCAGGACGCTTAGCACTTCTGCCCTGCTCTTCATTTTCCAAGAGCTTTGCCACCGTTCAGTCATGGAGATTAGAAAGGAAATGTGCTCATCCATTCCTGGAGCTCTGTGCTGACGTCCAGGCTCCCTTCATAATTTCCTGAGTGCATCACTATGCTGTGAGCTTGGGCAGGCCGCTTACTTCTGTCCCTGAGGGTTTTTGGGTCCCACGTCCTGCCGCTGGCCTGACTGCTCTCTACTCCATGCGGACAGAGCAGCAGCTGTAAAGCCTTAGTCCTGATCTGCATCTACACCTGGGTCTCCTTGGTTACCCCCTCCCAGGTGAGATGCCAATCAAGGCCTTGCCCTAGCTCAGTCCTCTGCCCTGCTCCTGAGAAACGGCCTTTTAGGTGAACTGCTTTGTATTTTTCCTACAAAACCATCACTGCGGAACCCATTGGACGGTACATTTTTCATTCATTCTTGTAATGCGATTAGAATCGAGTTTCTCCAGCCCTGGGGGCGATGTAGCAATAGCAGGGAAAATTGTCACCATAGTCCCAACATCAACACACCCACTCTGCCCAGATTTCCCTCTGGTGTGAACTCGCTCTACCCACTCGAATGGCAAAGAGAATACTAACGAGGAAAATCACTCTCCAAATGAAGAGACAGGAGCTCTGGGGGTGGAATCTCTTCGCAGTCATTAAATCAGGGCCTCCCGGCTCCTCTGACACTCTCCTGCTGCAGAGGAAACCTTCCAAGGCCTGCTGGAAAGTCCACTGGCCCCCTTTCACTGGGTCAGAGGTGAGTGGAGAAAGAGTCCCTTGGAACCCAACAGGGACCCTACAATCATTCTCCCAGAAAGGTTAAGGGACTTGCCCGAAGCCCCATAGCTGGGAAGCCCAGATCTACAGGCTCCTGCTCTGGGGTGCCCCCTCCCAGAGGGCCTGCAGCTGCCAGCAACTCAGCTCTTGTCTTTCTTGGGGGACACTAAGGCCTGCGTTTCTGAGCTGCTCTAGACAAACAGAAAAAGAGGCAACGTTTGTCTTTCATGCACCCACCTCTTCTCCAGTGCCCTCCAAATCCTTTTCAGAAATCTTCCCAGCTCCTGGAACCGCTCCCTCAAGGTCCATCTCACGTTTGCCATCCTTTTCTTACTGTGGCCTGACATCCAACAACCCAGCCTTCCTTCCTCCCTTTCCGTTTCCACCCAGCCCGCTGTCCCTCTGCGTCCCCATCCATCTCTCCTTCCATCCAGCGAAGCCGTCTTGAGCACCTGCACACCTTAACCCTGTGCCAGCCTCCCAGCGCTTCTCCCTCGCTCCTCAGAGTGCCCACTCCAGAAGGAGCCGCTTCTCCCCTATCCCCCGTCAACGCCTTGAACTGACCGGCTTCCATCCACCCTGTAAGGAGGTTGATCTGACGACCCAACCCTTGCCACTGTATTTGCACCGAACTCATTATTCCTTCTGAGCACTGGCAGCAGGCAGGGACTTCTGGAGCCCTTTGGCTGAGGCCTCCTGCCCAGGGAGCCGTGGACATCAGCCCCACCTCCCCTCCCCTCCTTTCCCCTCCCCTCCCTTCCCGGCACCGAGGCCAGAACAGCAGCAGTCCCTACGTACGGATGCAGAAGTCTCCGTTCTCATAGTAGCCAGGGCAGCACTGGGACCTCCGCCGGTACATGGTCCGGAGGCCTCTCCGATACGCCGTCTTATAACTGATCCTAAGGCACAAGGGAGAAAGCCACTTGAAAGTATTGAAAATCAATCACTCCACTTTAGAATGATATTTGTGTTAAGCTATATCGGGGATGCCATTCAATAATTACTTTAAAATGCACGGCGGCTTCAAATATGAAGGAACACAATAAAAAAATCAATCAATAGTGGGATCTGGGCGGCCGTGATGCAGAATGGATTACCAACACGGTGCTTACTAAACCTGCTGACTTCTCCCCAGTCGCTTCTAAATAGAACGGCTGCAGAAGATACTTTCTGGAGTGACATTGTGGAGGGCAACCATGAGCTTCTCCTTAGTTCCTGAAAACACCCAGATTCTGGGCTTGAGGAGCCCATGGGGTGACCTGGACAAGAGTCAGGCCCTGAGGGCTCCTGTGCCCACCCCTCCCACCCCTCTAACAACCCAGGCTGCTCACAGCACCCTGAGTATTGGTTCCCCCCACTTGGAGAACTGAGGCAGAGTCAGCAAAAGGACCCTCTGAGTCCAACCCAGTCCTGGAGAGTAGCTTAACCTCCCCCTCACCAAAAATAACACCTCTGGGAGTGGAGCCTCACATGCCATCCCTGGGAATGCCCTGAACTGACCCCTCGCCCTGCAGAGGAAGGAGCTGAGGCCCGTGGAGCCAGCACTGGGAGTCAGACCTTGGCTTCCAGACCTTATGCTGACACAGGAGTTAGGGCTGGGTCCCATGCCAGAGAGACTATGAGAACACCTCACCCCGTGCCCTGCGGCAGGCACCATGACTCTCTCTCTTTATTTTATTTATTTCTCCTTTAGAGCTTTTATTCTTATTTTCTTTTCTGTTCCTTTCCACTCTCCGCCCTTTGTTTTATGGATAAGAAAACTAAAATTAGTGAAGTTAATGACCCGCACAGCCACAGAGCCAGGCTTCACGCCTAGCTCACTCCAGTTTCAACACCTGCCCTCTACCGGCGTTCACAGCGTAGTTTCTGACCTTGCAGATGGCCACAGTGAAGGAGTAAGCAACGAGAAATACCGAGTCCTTAGAAGGAAATCAAAATGGGTATTCATAGGCAAAGCCCCTTCTTCACATGGAGATTCAAAGTGGGAGAGATTTGAAGCAGCCGCGAGAGACCAGAGAGAGGAAGTGACCTGCCCAAGGTCATGGAGTGTAACTTGGACCCAACCCCAAGTCCCTGGGCCTTGAAGCCAGGCCTCCTTCCACTTATCCAGCAGCACCCAAGGGGAGCCTGCCCTGTTGTCTTGTCCTCAGCAGCTCAGCAGCAGGGTCTGGTCATCAGAGATGCCTACAGCCTGCGTTCCATGGAGGGCCAGCCCAGCTTGGGGAGAGAGTCCTACAGTACAGGCTGGGACAACCCTCCCATGCCTTGAAGCCCTCACTTCGTGACAAATGACAGTGCAGAACTCTGGGGAAATCTGTGATATTTGGGAATGTCGTAAGCTAAGGTCATTCAACTTTGTCAAAAACCGATAATGGAAGGAAAGCTACTTCCCCAGCACTGAAGGCGGCTCCCGGCAGTTTCGGGGGCTACATAAGCCTCTCAGGTAAAGAATGACTCAGAGTGGTTCTCCCCACCAAACGGGATTACCCCAAAGCCCCACAGTGGGGGGTGGCCGAGGCATCACCGAAGGCCCTCAGGGGAGGGTTGCCACCCATTGTTTCTGGCTCACCCATCCCTGCTTGTTCCTATGCAGGTTGAGAGGGAAGCAAGGCCAGGTGCCAGGCCGCTCTCAGGGGAAGGATGCTGAGTTAGAACATGCCACTCCACACCAAAGCAGACGGATGGTGCAGCTGTTAGCATACACACTCTAGGTCATCAGGAAAGCTGCAAGGCAACTCAATAATTTAGCAAAATCATTCATGTTCTAGGATCACAGCCTGTTTCATAAGCAGCCACCACCCCAGTGGTGATGGATGGCAGCCCTGGCCTCCAAGTACCCCAAAGACCACACCTCAGAGCAAACTTGGCGCTCATACGCGGCTTGCCAGGACTCTGGGAGGAGCAGCACCACTGTCTCTGCCTCTGCCTTTGACCAGGGCCACAAGCAGCCAACTCCAGCAAAATCAGGGGTGGAGGGAGGGAGAGAGCATTTAGTCCCACCTCCTCATTCCACGGTCAAATGCTAGAGGAAGGGGATGCAGTGTGGCTGAGTCGCTCCTACTGGACCACCTTTCTGCAAATAGCAACTATAAAATCTAGGGGAAATATACAAAATAACTACCTGAAGGCACTTGAGGGAGGACAAAAGCAGGCAGATACTGGAGGCAAGTGGACATCTGAGAGAAGGGAATGGCGCTGGGTAAGTTAGTGCAGCCAGACTCCGGGCAATTAAGATTCAGATAGCAAACACACAACCTTGCTTCTTTGAAGAACCACAGGACAAGTCCAGAGTGGGCCCAGCAGGTGGCAAGTGAAAAGGGAAATTTTAGAAAGGCAAGAGCCATGAAGAGGGAACCCTACAATCTTTGTAAAATCCCTGCCCAAGTGTCTGGCCACTGATTTATGCTTATGGAGGGCAGATTCCAAGCAGCCTAGCCAAGGCTCAAAATATTAAACTTTCAGAGTTTGGAATTTGTGTTTGGCCAGGTAACCAGTCTGCTAAGACAAACAAAACAACAACAACAAATCAATATTCTCCGGAGGAACATAACAGAATCTGGTCTCTACAACATGTCATTCATAAGGCTCAGAATACAATCCAGAATGACTAGGCATATAAGGAAACACACTACCCGTGTAGGAGAAAAAGCAACCAATGGCTGGGTGTGGTGGCTCACGCCTGTAATCCCAGCACTTTGGGAGGCCAAGGCAGACGGATCACAAGGTCAAGAGATCAAGACCATCCTGACCAGCATGGTGAAATCTCATCTCCATTAAAAATACACAAAAAAGTAGCTGGGTGTGGTGGCACAAGTCTGTAGTCCCAGCTACTTGGGAGGCTGAGGCAGGAGAATTGCTTGAACCCGGGATTCAGAGGTTGCAGTGAGCCGAGATCGAGCCACTGCACTCCAGCCTGGGCAACAG